TCCCACTGGAGTGAGTCAGACCTGTCTCCTTGTAGGACAAAGAGCTTATGTCCAGCTATAATGACACTAGAGTCTAGTGAATCTGAAACAATACAGACACATCATATCTAATACCAGTGTAGTACACACACAATCATTCACATGTGTACATGTACATGAATAATTTACCCATTGAAGGGATCAGGTAATTAAATTGTAGTCCAATAGAACTAGTCTCTTTGATGGATTGTTCCTCTAAGGATGTGACTCTCTCCCGTAGTTGTGACTTCTCCTTCATTAGTTTGGTTGTATACAATTCATTATCAGACACTTTAGCTCTAAGGTCTATAAATTCATAGAATAATAATTATTGATTGATGCATGATACACTAACCATTAATGAACTGTTTCTCATTCTGTGATTGTTCCTCTACTTGTGATGTCAGTTTGGCTATAACTTTGTCTTTCTCAGAAATGAGATTTTGATTGTCATCTACACAATAAACATATTCTCTCATCTAATACATGCTGTGTGTATAGTTAACTAACCAATAATGATCTGCTTCTCCTTGAGATATTGTTCCTCCATATCAACTACTTTGAGTTTCAGTTTCTCATAATCTTCTACATCAATAGAATATTCTTTCATCTAATATTATGTACCGATGATACACTAACTAGTAATAATCTGTTTCTTCTCCTCTACTTGTGTTTTTATTTCCAATATTTCAGCATCCTTAACTTTAAGCTTCTCATTATATTCTATTATGAATCAAAATACAAGGAGTAAGGATAAAATGATGTTTGTTGTTTAATGAAATTTGCACTGCATGTACAGTAGCCCATTAATACATGTACTATGATTATTGCTAATGATACCATATATGGTAAGCACAGCTCACTCTACATCAATCTCATTATTTCTAATGCATGGACAATTTGACCTATATTGAGTACAGGATACTATTTCCATACTCAACATTGTCTAATCCACTAGTATTATAATGTAAACAATGTACACATAAACATCAGTACAACACAATAGTAC